TGACTGTGCTACATATGTCATTGCAAAGAACACTTGGTGTATTTGTGTCCATTCATTGAAAATTAAAATCATGATCAACATTTGAATAATGGATGGATCGATATATGTTGTATAGATGGTGAAAAAGAGAAGCTTGAATATCGAGAATGTGGTGTGAAGGTACCTAAAAATGAAAAAGAAAGTGTTAACATGAGAAGTAAACAGAGAAAAAGGAACAATATGTACCTGAATGATAAGGACAACCATACGAGGGTTCTTTAGCTTGTGAATATAAAGAAAGCAGATATCAAAAACAAAAATAAAGCCTTCGAATATCATCAAAAATCTGAAGATATGGTTAAAACTGAAGAAGCATTTAATGATGAATATTATCATCTTAATGAAGATGGGACTGAGAAAGGTAAAAGGTAAAAGTCTGTTAGCCAGATATTTGAGGATAAAGTAATACAAATAAAATACAATACTATACCTGTGAAGTTCATTGCTAAAAAAGTTGAATCAAATGATCCAAAAGATACCAAAGTTGATGTCAAAAAGAATGAACATAGAACATTCATTCATTATAAAAAATCTTCTAATATGGGTGATCCTGATGGAACTGGTGGTAAAATACAAAGACCTAAAGTGTTCAATTCTTACCAAATATCTGCTGATATAGAAAAGGCTGATGGAATCTATAATGTTGGGTATTGCAACGTTGATGGAATCGGAGTCAATAAAAATGATAATTCAGAAAAACATGTTCTTGAACATTATATCAGTAATAAAATGAATGTTGAAAGCGATGAATATAAGGCATTTGCATACTATCAACAATCTGCCAATATGGGCAATACTGATGAAATGATTGAGGTTGGACATCATTATCAAGATAAACTGGTAGTCGTGATTGAGGCATTGTTGAATGATGTTAAAAAAATAAATACTATGATAAAAATTCTACTAGAATCGTTGGAATTCAATAATAAAGATAGATCAAAAAATGATCTTGAAATGAAAATGAGGATTGATAATAATAATAATAATGTAAAGACTGTTGAAAAATTATGAATAATACAATGATACCTGAAATGGCAAGTAATTGAATAATAATAAGAAGAGGGATGAATTATGTGAAGTTAATCAGGTACAATCATGACATCAAATCCAGGTAGAATCAAACAAAAGCGTAAAAATCTTGTAATGATTGGAATTTAAAATAGATATTGAATATGTTAAATCAAATGAAGAAAAGAGGTTCTACAATTGTATCTACTTGGATCATATGATTGGCTGTGATGGTGTGGAGCATGCAATATTTGGAAGTCAAATTGACATACAGTTGGGTTTGAAATATTGGTGAAAAAAAAAAATTTTTAGTGTTTATGTATATGTTTGTATATATAAATTAATAATTAGTAGTTTATACTGCATTAGTATTAGGATATGTATATTGTAAGAAAATTATTAAAAGATGGTAACTTCGAGGATGGAGATCACAGAAGGGTCTAGCTCCTGTTATGGTGATGCCCAATACCCCTTGTATCAGTATTGCTAGAGTTAAGTATGATTATAGGTCACCTGATCATAACTGGTAATGTTAATGGCATGATTGGTTATGCATTAAATTAATTAAAAGTCTAATTTGTGAATATCATAATGCATAAAACCTGGATAATAATTTATCCAGAGATAATCTTGTAATATATATTGATAGCGATCTTTAATAATAAAGAAAATAACAAAGTTTGGCTTTGGTAAAAGGATGTTCTAAGTAATAAACTGAGTGATCAACATCATGGTCTATTGGTAGCAGTGCCTGAAACAATACTCCAGCCTGTGTGAAAGCCAAGTGAGTGGAATTGGAAAGCAAAGAGAATGAAAACTCTGTAATATTACAAATAAACATGACATTAACTAATATTTGATTTTTACAAATATTTTCTATTTCTTGATATTTTATATTTGTAGCTTTATTACTAATAAACCTACATGTATAGAACTAAAAGTATTATTAACTTTTGGTATCTCTATAATATTTTTTTATAATTAGTTTTTTAAAATTGTTTATCAAGAAATTATTAGAAAAAGTTGATAATTATTATTTTTTAGTTAAAATTTTTTAATTTACAAAATAAAAGTAATATAATAGTATAGACTATAACTTTATTTTTTCTTATTTGTTATATTGGCAATTTTTAAAATATATAATTTAAAAGGTATTTTAAAATAGAGAATTTCTATTTGTATTTGGTAGGTATATATCTAGTATATAAGAAAAAATTAAAAAATTGATAATATTTCAAAATTTTATTAAGAAAATTATATATAAATATTTTAAATAAATTGTTTAGCACTTAATTTTGCATATTAATATACTATTATTATTGCTCTATTTTATATAACTAGACTCAAGATAGAGTCTAGCAGAAGAGAGTAATAACTAACTATTCAAGTTTAAAGAACTAAAATAAAGAGCAATATTTAAAAGGGTAGAATTTTAATAGAATAACATAAGACAAATAGAATAAAGTATAAATTTATCAGATTTAAGAGAATTCAAACTTAGTTCAAATATTATAGTGAACACTATTAGACTCTGAGAATCTAACCTTATACACTCTAAAGATATTAAAAAATAACAAGAAAATAACAAGAAAGAAAATAAAAACTCAAAAAATAACAATTTCCAAGAAGACAATAGTATTTTATTATTAGCAATCAGATTACAAGAACTTATTCAAAGTTATTTTTGAGGAAGAGAAAAAAAAAGGCTATTCATAATATTTTAGGACTATGTAGATATTAATTTAATATCTATCTAGTATGTAATACATCACATGTTATGTTTAATTTAAATTAAGTTACATTAATTAGTAAGTTCTAGAACATTTATCAAAAATTGTTAATTACTAAAATTTTACTATGCTAATCGATCTAGCTCATTAAGACAAAAATGTTCTTCTACTCAAAATAGGGTAGATTTACTAATATATAATAACAGGTTTTTGTAGATATTAGCTTTGCTTCTAAATATAGACATTCTTTATACTCACTTATTACCTTAAATTCTCAGAATAGTGGGCATCTGCATACTATTTTGACTACCTGCACACTATTTTGAGTATGCCCATAGGTGTCATTTTGATATATAGACTGATTTCTAAATAGAGATATTAATAGTCCACAAGAGACTAGTTATCAGTTTAAAAATCATATGCATTGTAGATTAAGTGGTAGCAGACTCATAAGATATGGATTAACTCAAAATACAGAAACGTAAGAATATATGATGGCGTTTCAATATACTAATAAAGGATATCTTCATAATTATCTAAAATTAAATTTTAAAGAGCTTACTTGGGAAAATAAATTATCAATATTAATTGATATTTCAAAAGATTTGATTAAAATTCACAAAGAAGGATACATTCATTGTGATCTTCACTGCAGTAATATTTTACAGCATGAAGGACCATTGCTTGGTTCGTTAAAATCATATATTACAGATTTAGGATTGTCTCGAAAAAATGAAGAATGCATTTCGCAAAATGGAATTTGTGGAATTATGCCTTATATTGCTCCTGAGATTTTATTAGGTCAAGAATATACATCAACAACCGATATATATAGTTTTGGCGTTATCATGGCAGAAATGACTACTGGAATACGACCATTTAATAGACGTTTATTTGATATTGAGCTTGCATTAGAAATTTGCAATGGAAAAAGACCAGATTTTGCTCCAAGTACCCCTAAATGTTATATTGAATTGGCAAAACTATGCATGCATTCAGATTCACAACAGCGACCTACTGCTGAAACAATTCATTCTAAGTTTTCTGAATAGCATAGCTTTATAAACCGATCAGGCGAATCTGATGACGAATCTGATGAACTTGTTGAATCTGATGAATTTGATGATAATCCTTCCGAATATGATTAATCCAATGAATTTGATGAAAAATCAAAATCCAAAGTGAATTTATGGCTGCTGATATGAAAATTCAAGAACTTTCAATAATTTTACAAAAATTTTCTGATATTAAATACACAAGTAAATTTATCAGCACTTATGATATTGCTTGACAATATAAAGAAAGAAGCGACCAAATTAGTATAATAGATGAAATGGGTTATTATATGCGCCATTTTAGGTTATCAGGTTATCGTTGATGTTGTTGATGTTGTTTATATTAATATAATATTTATTGTGTAATATAGGTTCCAACCCTGCTAAGTTGGAGATGTTGGACATTTGACGTACTGTAAGTCAACAGATCGAAAGGTCGACCGTTATTTAATGCTTATTGAGAAAGATAATTACTTTCTATGATGTTGGGAAGAGATAATTCCTTTCTATGGTGTTGGGAAGAGATAATTCCTTTCTATGGTGTTGGGAAGAGATAATTCCTTTCTATAGTGTTAGGAAGAGATTATTCCTTTTTATGGTGTTGGGAAGAGATAAGAACATGTAATGAAAACTGTGTATAAAATGCCTACTACATGACATTTGTTTTTCCTAACTTAAAACTTTCATCAATTCGACACAAGACATAAAAGCTTAATTTTATGAGAATTACTATCTAACATTCGTTTAACAGATCTTTGACATTTTATAATCATCATCTCTTGGACCCCGTTTAATAAATTAAATATTATAAAAGAAATCGGTAAAGGAAGATTTGGTGCCGTATTTTTAGCTAATTGGCATCAAAGCACAAAAATGATGTAGGTCCACGATCTATTAAGATAGCGCTCAAGACTTTACCTAAACAAAATAAAAATTCTAATGATTTTTTGAAAGTTATAATTTAATTATTTGTTTACGGCATATCTTCATGACAGAAATGGCTACTGAAGTGCGTCTCTTTTACGGACATTCATTTGATTTTTGAATTTGCATCAGAAAATTGGCGGTGGAAAAAGACCTGAATGGAACCCTAAATGCTATATTGAATTGGTAAATCTATGCATGCATTCAGATTTTCAACAACGACTTATTGCTAAAGCAATTCATTCTAAGCATTTTGAATGGCATAGCTTATAGATCAATCTGAAGAATCTGATGATTTGATGATTTTGATGAATTCGATGAACTTGATGAATCTGAAGCTGATAAGAGAATTCCCGAGCTTTCAATAATTTTACAAGAACATCTTGATATTGTACACTCAAGCAAATTTATCATTATACATGATATTATTGTTCAACATTATAAAGAAAGAAGCGGCCAAATTAGCATATACGGTATGTCAATATTGTATTATTTTAACATAATATTTATCTATATATGACGTAGCTTCTACTTCTAATAATTGAGATTCCAGCTGACATAGTAAATCAATAAAAAAAAAAGCGGGCGGGGAACACTGCATCATTAAGATTGCATTATTTAATAAAATATTTTATTTTATAATATACAAGTGTTAGTGGGCGCCGCTGGCGCCCTTTTATACAATTTAAATATAGTTTTCGTTATAGTGACAATAGACTAATTAGAATATTAATATATATAGTACATTAGTCTATATAAAATTTGCATAGTTATTGTTCAGAAGTGTTCTTCAACTACGCAGTCAGATACAATGCTGCAATCCGCAAGATTTGATCAGGGATATAGTCATAGCGATTTGGTAATTACAGATTATTCCTATCAAATAAGTTTTCTCATAGTTGACTTAAATTTGCACGTGAACGGACGATAATTTTATTATTTCTTTTTTTTTTTTTTTATCTATTTTCTAGACCTAATATCCTCAGTCTTACTTCGATAAAGCTTCTGATTTTCAGTAGAACTTTCGGTACGGCTTTTGACTTTCGGCTTTGTACGATGAATTTCCAAAGCACCTCAGTACTTTTTTAGAATCCCAAAAAAGTAATGAAGAAAGTAGTCAAAGCACAACTACTCATGCATCCAAAGGAATATGGATTTGTTATATTTCCAATTGAATAATTTTCTTTCATAACTTGTAATTTGTGATAATTCTTTGTCATGTAACTTAAATTATACTGTATTTGCTTTGCGTAAGTCACTATTCGAAATATATTTATTGATGAATAATTTATATGCTATTTGCTTTCATAACATGTAATTGGTAATAATTGCTTTTATAACATGTAATTTGAATTATATTTGCTTTGCGTGATTCCCTATTTGAAGTATATTTGCTTTTGTAACTCAATTTACAAACCTTTCAATAAATTCATTGAATTAATCGAATAAAACTCGAATAAATAATTTGATCGAATGATTCAAACACTCTTCGGCGTTTAATTCACGAGTCACGAGTTAATACGAGTCCAGTCTCTATCGCACAGCCATAATCGATGGTAATAAGTCGTAATTGCCGATTTCAATCGAATACAATCCATTCTGCCTTTCTTCATAGTCATGAGACTTAATTTGTACATGAACAAAATGGTTGGTAAAAATGTATAGGACACTCGTGACAGGCGATTAATTTTATCATACACGTATTAAGGATCGCATAATATATTTAACGAGTTTTAACATATGAACGATAAAATGATTTCAAACTCTAAGTTTTAATCATTTACCATAATTAAGTAGATGAGTAAATTTGAATTAACTATACAGGGTGTCCTAGAAGTTCCTACACGCGGTCTCTATTTTTGATGTGACCTTATATATAGAAATCACAATAATTATTTATGCAAATATGTAAATAAGCATAATGCAGTAATGAACTCTATATAATATATAGAGATCATTATGATTATTGATATTTACGTAAATAACTATTGCGATTTCTATTGATCTCTATGTATAAGGTCACAAAAAATGGGGACCGTGTATAGGAACTTTTGGGACACCCTGTATACATAAATAAGAATATATGATAGAAAATAAACATAACGATAATTGTAATAAAGGGTTTTCATTAAGTAAGCTTTCATTAAACTTCTAATAAAAGCTACCGTATGTATTTGCGCGTAATAACGCGCTACTTTGAGACCCTTCGCGTTATTTCGGACATAGATGCGCGGTAATTCGAATCATTTTGACAACCCGCCTTTATTAATGAATATGTATATTTAAGGGAGGGCCGTTATTTGAGTCAAAAAAACAATTTTCAAAAAAATGATTTCGAAATAACGCACATGTGTGTTATTACACACAAGTACGGTATGGTATGTAAATGGTCTTTCGGTTCTAACGACATTAAAATTGAACCAGTAAATTATGAGAAATGGGAATTTAAAGTTTCGCAGTTACAGATTTAAGATCTACAAAGAACTTGGATAAGTACAATGGCGAAATTATAAATGTCCATTTGTCTCGATCGATTGGAATGATTTAACAAGCTTGAGGATGGTTTGCTTAGTGAAATTATCAATAAGAGTGATCACAAGAATGTTAATTTTCAAGTATATATATAGGTATTTATGTCTAAAGGAATATGGTGATAATAGTTATCATAAGTGTTGTAATGATATATATGCGTCATTGTATAAAATTGTCTATTTGACAAGTAATACAATTATTTAAAAACCATATTACATTTACCGTATTGTCGCGAAATAACGAGCATAGGCGTTATTTAGAATAATGGCCCGAATTGAGCTTAATTTAGGCCGAAATCCCCTGCGCGTTATTTCGCGACAATATAGCATATTTTTGTCTCTCATCTAGGTTTTTACTAAGCAATGAAATACAGTTACGGGTATTCTGTCTTTGCTGCTTCGTGCAATTAGGCCAAACCAAGATGCAGAATTCGAAAGCATCGATAAATATGCCATAAATTCATTAGTTGTGAAATAAGTTCTTGACTGCCGCATTTTGAAGTTTTTTCTTTTCCCTTTTCCATTTGTTACGCTCTACAATAACTCAAAGCAATATACGATCAATTAATTCATACTCCGTGTTTGATTCAAGACAAAACGCTGCTCCGATACTTTCATATCGGGCAGCTAATAATTTATATAATTATATTAACCAAACATAGTCCTTAAATCCTAAAATCATGCAAAAGACTAACATTAATATACATTATTTTGTTGGCAGAATTAAATGACCCTAATGTTTTTATATCAACATATCAAATTTAATCAATCATATTCCATTTATCATAATAAATCCAAAGCTCCATCATTAAAGTCCCACAAGCACCAACAGCAATTACTGGTAAAACTCCAAGGTTCCATTTCACAAATTGCCAATACCCAATTTTTTCACCTTTGTCTTTTAATATTTTATCCCACCTGTTTAAAGAAATAATGTTAGTTTTAAATACTATTTAACATTTTCAGAATTTTAACGTATTTTTCTTTTCTTATTTCTTTTTCTTTTAGTTTTTTCTTTTAGTATAAACTTACATTAATCCAGCCAAAGCACCTACAATTGTAAGGCAAGCACCTATATTACTTCCGATAATTAGCGAGTATATACATCCTTGTCTTATTGCTGGTGTTACATGTGGAGCCGCTGCAAAATTATCATCCTGCAATATTTTACTTAGTAATACAGTCATTGGCAAATTGTTTAACAAGTTACAGAGAATGATTGATATAAAAGCAATAGAGATGACAGCAACTGGATATGTGGGCGTTAAAGTTGACATTGCATTTGCAAATATAGAAATCCAGCCCAACGATGATAATGCTTTATGAAAAAAAAACATTTAAAGAATTTAGAAAGATTTAAGATGAATAGAATGAATAATATCGATTATAGTGTTATTATTTTTTTTTTACCTTCGACTAAAATAAACATTCCTAACATAAATGGCAACAAATTACCCGGTAATCTTATGAACACAGAATAAACTGTTGGTAGCTTATTTTTAATTGCATTAAACATTGAACTAACATCATCATCAGGTTCCGATATTATTACTTCTTTAGAAGTTGAGGGTAATTCAGATCCTTTTTTTACAATGTTTGAATCAAATGATCCTTTTGATGAATAGGACATTTTCTTTTGAATACTTAGACTCGACGGTGAGACACTACATGGTGTAATATTAGAATGTTCTATATCAGAGGACTTTTTTCTTTGTAAAATAAATGGAATGTTTAGAATGTTTGATGTGTCATCATTTGTTATGTCTTTCTCTAATCCATTATTTCCATCAAAATTATTATCTTTAATTTCAATAATCTGTTCATTTTCTAAATCTTTTCGTTTAAGACTCACATTCTTCTTGTTATCTGAATTTTCATTTGTTTCATCAACTTTTCTTTCAGAGTCCATACTTTTTTCAGATATTACATTATTTGTTTCAGTTACTTCAATATTCTGAATTTTAACATTATCTTTTTTTGACAAATCATGCCAAATATCTTTAGCTAACATAATTATAGCAAAAGGCAATGTAACAATCCATACACTTAAGGA